GTTCTGAGTCTGGGACAGACAGACAGACAGGTGGTGACAGCCGCAGAAGGCGGTGTTGGGAGGAGAGCAGAGAACAGTTCAGGGTAGCAGCCAAGCCAAACAAAACAAACCCCAAACCAACGACGAGCAAGTAGAGTTTTGGTGCGTGGCCACCCTGTCGGACAGACTGGAACCACCCTGTGGGATTCTGGGACTATCAGTCTTTACAGGAGCAGAAAGCCTCATTTTTCTTCTGCAGAACGACTACGGGTTTCAAACAGCTAGCCTTGAAGTTAGCATCCCAACACGTAAGCCACAGGCCACCAGAGCTCCCTGCAGCAGCAGGAAGGTCAAAACAAAATTGAGGAGAAATTGAATCTCTTCAAAAGGACTGTGCCTTATGCTGGCAGGTGTGTGGTGTTGATTCTGACTCCCAGTGAGCCCAGGGGGCCGAGCAGAACTGCCAAAGAGGGTCTTTCTCCCAGGTTACTGTCTGCACAGAAGCAGAGAGATGGTCAGGTCTTTCTTCCTCAGGACAGACAGGGGCCTCAAACCACCAACCTCTGGGCTCCAGCAAGTGGGTGACCCTTGTGCCACCAGGCACTTGGACTCTGTTGTGTCCGACAATCCCAGCTCCCAAGCCTGCCTTCATGGGCAAGATTCCCACCCGCCTTGTTCCTTGGGCCCTGCCAGGGATCCCCATGAAGCTAGCAGCAACGAGTGAGGGGGCTCCCGAGGGCCTGGTTCAATCCCATCTGGCAGGGAGGAAGCTTGGGCACAGAGGGCAGGAGGGAGCCTGCCCAGGTCCCTGGGCTATTCCCTCTCTCTCGCACCTGTCTGTTGCATTCATCCGAGGAGCCCTGGTGGTTATGTGTTGGGCTGCAAACCGCAAGGTCAGCAGTTTGGAACCACCAGTGGATCCTTGGAAGAAAAATGAGGCTCTCTACTCCCGTGAAGAGTTACAGTCTCAGAAACCCACAGAGGTGGCCGTTCTACCCTGTCCTAACGGGTCACGGTGAGTCGGCACTGACTTGAGGGTCATGTGTTTGGCTTGATTTGGTTTTGGGGGCGCACACACCAACTCTGGGGGGTGGTAGGACACAGGTCAGAATGGGGAGGTGGAAGTGACATCAGCTGTCAGCTCTGACGTGGTCAGGGGTGCTTCCTTGCTGGAAGCACAGCCAGCTTCCCCCAGGGTCCCTGTGGCCCCGACAGCGTGACTTTGCTTTAGCTGGAGCCCTGATGGCAGAAGCCATATCCTCTCACGCCTGCCCAGTGCCTGGGCCTGAGGTCCTCGCAGGAGCTCACTACCCCACCTTCCAATAAGGCTCGGGGCTCAGCGGCTGTGCGTGGCACCCTCTGTGGGGCTTTGGACAGCCTGGCCTGGACCACAAAGGGCCCCTGCATGCTGGCTGGGCTGGGGCATGCTCCTCTCATCCAGAAACTTCCTTTAGGAGCTGGGCACTACACCTCCTGGCCCTCCACCCCCTCCTCCCTCTCCCGTCTTTCTCCTGAGCCCATCTAAACACACATGTCCTCCTCTCCTGGCCACTCCACCCCCTGCAGCAACCTCCTCCAGCATTCCTGTCAGAGTTGACCCCTGGGCCTTCTCCTTCAAAGCCCCAGTTCCCAGGTACCAGG